CCAATGAATTGTCTCTCTCTCTTCTGGGCGCCAGCCCAGTATCCGGGATGGTCAACCAACTGATGCAGAGATTGAGCGTAAGTAAGCGGAGGCTGCTTGAGCCTTCACCTAGGCATTCCATCACACCCGTGTGTCGTCTGCTATGGATACGTATGCCAAGAAACACGTGCGATGTCCCTAGTGGGCTCTCAAGTCAGTACACCAAATCTTCTGCGTGGGTTGGTATAGAGACACAACCTGTTTCAAAAATACTACTTTATCACTGTAAAAGAGCCCTCAAAAACATACAGTAACACACTGATGACCAAGATTTCAAGGTTTAAACACTTGTAATACTTGATCCTTCGATTGATATCCGCATATCTTTTGTTTTCGCAATAGCACTTTAAGTTAGTAGCGGCCAGTCTATTTATATCATATATCCGAGTTGGAGATTTTGTAAACGTTCGAGCTATTCTGTTGACGTGTTTGTTAAAGGAAACTGGCAGGACATTCCATTTCACTTTGAGGACAGACCTTATAATCATATAAAACCATGTTTGAGATTACGTACCGCAATATGCCACGTTGTTTTTACTTTAAGTGCTCTTCTGCTGCAACCCGTTACACTTTTACCTGCCACCGTGCTGCTTTTGCATTGAATTTCAGAAATTATCTAGATTTGAAATGAGCTAAGAATGTTAAGTTGTCGTTAGTTTTTATTACCGCTTACATATTGAGAAAATTTGAATTCTGGATGATGGAGTGAGGGAGAGTTTCGTACTAGCATTTGGTGGTCGCATTTATGCCAATTGGTGTGTGTTAATTGCTGCAAACATTAATCTAAACTTTGCAGAAATATAAAAAAGCTACAGTGGGTGGCGCTACGTAGACTGTTAAACATATTAATGGGCCGTTTGGCCGCAGGCATAAACAAATGATTTTTTTGTTTTTCAGTTATTTACGGAGCCTAATTGCATTCTATAGTTCTGACTCAAATGTATAATTAACAAAAAACATGATATAATTAGAATACTAAAATAAAAGAAGTTTGTATTTTTCAGTCGTCTGAAGGTAATTTTTTCGAATGTCCAGATTTAATGCCCTACTTAATAGTTCCACATAAACCACATACGTATATTGACAAATCCAATGTATTTGAATGAATCAGATCCGTGTTATTCATGCTGTCATGAAGTGTCTCCTGAAACATAACTAGTTGTCGAGGCTTGTTCATTTCTATTCCTCTGTTGACAATTGGATGGAACACATTCGGACCGTCACCTCTGACACTCAGTCCTAAAACTAGTGCCGTGCAGGTTTTCACCTGTTTAAAAGACATCAAATATTTTATTATTCTTCTACTTGATGCAATCATTTGTCTTCTGATGTCAAAGGAAAACGATACGAAGTAAAATATGATCAAACATGAACCTTGCTTGATATAGCTGTCGACAACTGTAACCCCAACGCAAAGGGTGCATTAGTATGGAAAAATAGAAGACAACCTTAACTTGGCAAAGTACATACGAAGTCACAGTCATTCATTTTGTGTACAGATTCGGTAATGAACACTCCAATTCCGATGTTGGCTTATTGTTTGTGTCTGCACGGGTATCTACTGGCCAAATCTCATTTCGTTCACGTTTTGTGTTTCGATTTTATACTTTGTTCCTCAGAGCTAGAAGGTGGAAAACTACCATTCATGAACCACAACCCTCTTCGAACGTTTTTCAGAATATTTTCTCTGTTATTTAAAAAGACTAACTCAATTTGTTCTTGTTCGGAGCCAACTGCTCTGTTGTGAAGCCCTTGATTTGGGTTTTAAATCTATTTATCTTTTTCTACATTTTAGCTTCATTATATCAGGCCTAGCAGCTGGTTTGCAATTGTACCGATGATATTGAACTGTGTTGGGATCCTGGCAACGATTGGTGTTATTGTGACACTGGCCTTGTACTCTGAGACGCCCATCGTGCGAGCAACTGGTCGCGAACTAACCTACCTGCTACTGTCCGGTTGTCTTCTCTGTTATTTATCCTCTCTCCTGCTGCTCATTGAACCGAATCCGGCAGCTTGCGGTATTCAGCGAGTTGGCATTGGACTGGGATTTGCTATCATGTACGCCTCCCTTTTGACCAAAACCAACCGACTGGCTCGCATATTTGACGCCGCAAAAAGGACAGCCAAGCGACCAGCCTTCATTTCTCCGCGTTCACAGTTGGCCATCGCTGGTGGTCTCATTGGCCTTCAGTTTGCCCTGTCAGCTATTTGGTTGGGATTTGACCCCCCGGCCACTCGTATCGATCCGCTTCAGTCCAACTTCCTTGTGCTGCGATGCGCCATCAAGGACAGCAGTATGATGACTTCTCTAGCCTATATAATGCTTTTGATCGTCGTCTGCACAATCTACGCTGTGAAAACACGTTGCATTCCAGAGAATTTTAATGAATCGAAGTTCATCGGATTCGCCATGTATACAACCTGCATAATTTGGTTGGCATTTGTACCCATCTACTTTGCGACCATGAGTAATTTTGAGGTAAGCATACGATATGCCGATGTTCTCTGTGGATGTTTGGGCGAAGTAGGTAAATGTGTATTTATATTTTAAATCAAAATTGATCTTAGTGTTGGTTGTACAGCGCGCATTGTATGTGTTTTCCATTCTCACTTCCATATATATAAGGCATTACCGGTAAACATAATGGACTGAACGATACGCATTTCTGCCTCATTAGGCGTCATCAGGTATAATTACTGAACTCCAGTGTAGCTGCGGAAATTGCCGTCACACATGAGTTTCGAAACCACGTCTCTCCGGCTAGGGGCGAACGCCCTAACCATCGAGCCATCAGGCTCGGCATTTTACCGGTTGTTGATGGGGGCTATATATTAGTACATATGTGTACACTAAGAGGCACCCAATACCAGGGCAGGTGTGTCTTGTATATGGTCGGTTTACACATATGTACTAATATATATATATTGCTAATAGAAGCGAAACGCGTCTCCGGACATAAATGAGAAGATAAGGCGATCTCGGGAACCATTGTTTTATCTTCCTGACGTTTCAAAAGCGTACAGGCTTCCGTCATCAAAGGTGGCAATTGTAGTGCGCCTCGTAGGATTTACAGGTGTTGGCAGTTATAGTTAATAGGGGTTCAACCAATGTAGAGGAGTGGGGAGGGGGTTAGGAGGGATGCTTAATTATTGTGCCCTGAGAAGCGTAATAACCTTAGTCAAGGGGTCCCTCTTCGACTTCCGGTGTTTGCGCTTCTGCAGCTGTCATTGGCCGAAGCTGTCGTCCCAGACAAGGAATCTTGCTTGCGCTCGTACATCCATCCAGTTTCCGGCTGACCGGATGAGATGGCTGAGATGATGATTGCTATTTCCAGTTGTGATTCAACTATGTGTGTGACTGTCGTCGGTTCGCAAGCTGCCATCGATCGAAGCGGTGGTCCCAGGCTAGTAATTCTACTTGCGCTCGTACGTAGTGTATATACATATATACTATCTGAAGGTGGAAGTTAAACTTCACAGTCGACTTGTCAAGTTACAAATAATTGAAAACAGGATTTTTATTGTATTCAATGGGAATATGAAGCCCTTCCAGCTATCATATAGATGACAAAAAAGAAAAAACCAGCTGCCTGTCTAATTTGCGCCAGATGCTTTACCGACTGAGCTGCAAATGGTCCAGCTTACAACCACGCTAATCGTATACCTGCGGTTTGCATAATTCGCAAAGCTAACCTATCTTTACCGGTGTAACTTCTGGTAAAATAACCGTAGCAAATTTTTTTGCGGGGGTGAAGGAAAATTGTAATTTTATACCATTTTCAGTGCCGTCTAGGATTTTAAAGCAACTGTGCTCTAAAGCCTGTAGAATAAGAATGGGAAAAACTTTTTCTGAGACCACAGAGTATGTCTTGTGTCCTCCTATTTCAATAGCCATCTAAGCTATAAATTGATCACGAATATTACATATTTTAAACAATATTCACTCTACAACGCATTCAAATGTATAAATACTTATTCCTATTTTTAGGTTATTATAATACTTAGACTGCACATATATTCGTCATAGATTGTCTTTTCGCTTACCATGACCAGCATTTACTGAGACTGGAAATTAAAATCTAGAATAAGCGAAGTGAGGAATGCGTATAACTAGGTCATCTGCAGAAGGCCTCAAGGACTAAAACTGTTTTAGCGTTTGAACGGATACTAGACTTAAGGATGAGAAAGGAGTTCAGAATATGATGAACATTAGTACGGCGAGTAACTATTTCATGTACCTTCTAAATCCCTACAACAGTACCTGTGCTCAAAAAAAAACTCGTACAAAATCCTTCACCTCTGGAATATTTGTCAGAGATTTGGATCCATCAAGAACTCGATGGCGCTCTTTATACATGCTTCGCGTACCGCTATTCTTTTCATTTTAGACCCCCCTATGTGCAGCCTTTGGCAAGTAAACCTAATGTAATCATCTGCCATTGCTGACTGCTACTTTTTTGGGAAATAAAATCGTAAAAGAAACCGTAAACCGAAAAATTACGCATAAATACCGGAAAAATATCCAAGATCTGCAATATTTCACTTTCGTCAACATGGTCAGGGAGATTGGGGCACTTTTACGACCTTGAGACTGGTCTGATGTCATGAGAAGGTTTGCGGTGAAAGCCGGTCATATTTCGATTACTAAATTGGCATAAATTTCTTGTTTTTACGAAGGTTTTCATAAGCGTAAAAATGGATGTATCCCCAAAAGTTAATTTTTTTAATAGCATTTCAACGCAGTCAACGGAAAACCTCTGAAAATAAATCCGAAATCTATTTCTCATCTCGGAAGCAGCCTGCCTATCCACCCATTCGGATTCTAATCACATTGTTCAGGAAGTTTTCATCGAAGAAAGATCAATCATCTCGGACTATGCTTCGGATACCTTCTTAGGCATTCCTTCAAGATAACAAGTAATACAACAGCAGTATTTGGAGGAAAGACTGTGTGGATGTAAATGGCGAATTCAAACGCAAAACCATGGCAAAAAGGGTAGGAATAGTACACAATGGTCAAGTACTAAAAAGTATATGCTGCTATGAAGCGTATTGCGCAATACCTAATGCGTCCCTGTTTGGACTTTTTTCAAAAGCCATTAATGATAAGAAGGTCAAAGGCTCATGGAA